GTAAAATGACAGAAAGCTTTAATTTTACTTTCAAGTATTCCAGGAAATGAATAAAAGGAATAGAGCAAATGTAGTAAAATCCTGACAATGATCGTGATATGAGGTTTCTGTGGTCTAAACATTAGTGTGTTTAAAACATATGCCTTTCAATCTGTAATATGTGCTTAAATAGGAAAAGCTACCACATGCTTACATTACCTCCCCCACCCCACACACAATGGTCCATTAAAAGGACTCTTGGCGGCATCAGTCTTAAATCCCTTTTCATAGCCATATCACATACATATAAAAGGAAAATATGGTGATAAATTCAATGAAGATGCAGACAATTACCAGATAGTATAATTAATATCTTGCAATTATTTCATAAGGAGCACCATGGAAAGAAGAATGCAGCCCTGCACTGTGAGAACAGTGGTCTTATGCCCAGCACAAAGTGGCAATTTGAATATTGCTTAATGAATACATAGCTCTCAGCCAGGGCTATGAGAAAGACCGGTCTCAAAAAACAAAATAAAATCAACCAACCAAAAATGAATACTTAGTTCTCTGGAATTTTTGGGAATGCTTCCAAAGAAAGAGCAAATTAAAATGAAAAGGCCTTTAACAATCTTGAAGCCATTTGAGATCTGAGCCTACACATGGGCTCTGTTTCATATAACAGCATTAGCATTTATAAGCCAGACTAGTGCTAACCTCGGATTGAGCTGGACTCACTGGCATTTGTGGGCTCAACAATGACAATGATGACACACAAACCCTTCCTTGGAGACAGCTGCTAGGAATTTGTACTATATACTCTGCAGTTGGAAAGCCATTTATTTCAGAAAAACTAGCTTGCTCATTAGAAGATGAATTAAAACATAAAACAATTTGTAGAAAATTTTCCAACATAAGAAAATGAAGAAGTATAATAAAGTTCCAAAACTTGTTTTTTTATTGTTGTTATTTTAAGTATTAGGACTAGTGAGATGAATCTATGGTCAAGGTACTTGCCACATGAACCTAGCAACCTGAGTTCAATCAATGGAACCCACCTGTAAAGGTGGAAGGTGAGAACACATTC